ATAAAAAAACGGTTATCAAATCATAATTATTAATAAATAATTAAGAATTATAGTGTCACTTTTTCACTGTCAATGTAGATAATTTATCTACATTGAGCCTAAAACAACTTCGTTTTGAGACGAGAATTAAGGTATTTTATAATTATAATTTATTTCAGGGTTATAATAGTCTTTTTTATTATAATTTTTTAATTTTTCGATCCAAAACGATGTCGTTTTGAGAATAAATATAGATAATTTATCTACATTCACGGTGGAAATATTAAAGCCAAGAATTATTTACCATTTTAATTATTATTTGATTAAATAAATATAATCTTATTTTTGAAAATAATAATAATTACATTATTTATAATCTTAATTATTATATAATAATTACTATTTATGACATTAATTATGAATGGAAATATGAAAGTAATTAAATTTTGGATGAATGACTAATTCACCCTATTTTTATATTAGTGACCGATTTCCAATGATATGCAAAAATATTTCTCATGGATAAAAAAAGAGTTAGCATCAAATGACGTATATACTTTAGCTTTCTTGTGTCGTGATTCTATTTATTTTTTTATTGGGATAGTTTCTTTTTTATTTGCAAAAGAATCGTAGTGTGAGAAACCGGTAGAATTTTAAAGTCATCAGACTTTATTAAATATTTAAATTTTTTTAGACGAAGAAAAAAGAAAAATCAATTATCAAATTATTATTATTTTAATAAATTTGACATTTGACATTTCCATTTTTTATAAATAAAAATTATTTATGTCATTAATTATTATTTAATTAAATAAATTTAATATCAATCTTTAAAATAATAATAATGTTATTTACTATCTTAATTATTAGATATAGTTACTTATGATCCTAATTAAATTTATATAAGTGAGGGTATAGTGTTATCTGGAAACGAAGAGGATAAAATTTCGGATAGACAAACTTTTACTTAAAGTAAAGGAGTAGTGAATTAGTGATATATAGTAAAGAAAGTGAAATTTTTGTACCAAAAAAAGAAAGAAAGAAAGTGAAATTTGGGATGTACACCCAGAATTGTACTAATACAATTCCCCAAGTAATGATTCATTGCGCGGTTTGTATTAGGATGGTACCCTCGAGCATCAATTCATTTTGGCATTTAATGGATTTCATGAAAATAATTTTATTTTTTATACACATATAAAGTGAGACTTAATATCCAAAAAAAAAATAAGTGAGACTCATATAACGTCATGTGAAAAAAATAAAAAAAAATAAAACATGAACTTCAATCACACTCTTTTATATAAGTGTAGGAGATAATTTTATTTTATATAACGTAAAAAATATTTAACACATTATTTTATATAAAAGTATAGTCGTTTAAAACAAAAGTAATCAATTTATTTTGTTAAGTTTTGGCCGTTGAACTGAGAACTGACATAGAAAGAATAAAAAAAATAAAGAATTTAATATTTATTATGTTGTTGACGGTAAAATTATCTTTTAAGTACATATAACAATAGTATTATAAGTCTAAATATTAGTAACTGAAGAGTTACTAATACTTGGACTTTTTGAGATAATATTGCTACATTTTACTAATATTAGGACTTGTGAGATGTATTGCTACAGTACACATAATTTTATCTTAAAAATACGAGAAACTTTAAACACAAAAATAAAACTATCATGATACTTTTTATATTTAGATGAAATTATCAAAGGGATAGAACTCTTATCAGACAAACATTGTAACATTTCATGGCATATCATCTCTTTGTGAGTATCTAAAGCATTTGTAAGATAATCTCCCATGCCACTTCTGCTGCATCACTCACGTCATAGTTCTCCTTGAAGAGTGGTGATATTGCAATGAAGCCATACTCACAAGACATGGCCTCAACAACAGAATGACTTGCCCCAATTTCAGCAACCTCGGGTTTTCCAGATTGCAGAGCTTCAATGGCTTGTGGAATATCATGTTCCAAAATTGCTTTGTAGTTGTCAGCACATGAACTCAAGGCTTTCTTATCGCCACCCCCTTTAAGAAGTTCATTGATTTTGTTCATTGTATCATTTGCTTTGGCTTTGACCACATTCAGCAAGATTAGTGCTAGGCCTCTTACATCTGCACTTGAGCTATGAGGGTCTGCTTCAAGCAGTTTAATGCAAAGATTAGGATCCACTGTTTGCTTGCATGTTTGCTCTATGAGTTTCACATCATTTGGCTGAAAAACTCTGCAGTGACCTTGTGGCACTGAAATTGTATATAGAACAAGAATGCTACATATGAGAGATAGGTGCTTCAAGTTTGCCATCTTTTTTAGAATAAGATGGGTAATTGAAGCCTAGAAAATGCAAGAGGATGGATGAACTAAAAAAGTGAAAGGAAAGAACTAAAAAATTGCTAAGAAACTGTGCAATCAGAGTGAATATGTGTGAACTTCTTATTCTTTCAGCATCTAAATAGGCAATTGTCTCTGTCAATCACTAGACAATTTGGGTAATTAATAATATTATTAATTTATTAATATAATTACACTTTATTTGGAAAGTAATCAATATTTTTGTGGGATGAAGCAATATATTTATTGCTATATGAAGTAATTAAATAAGCTATTAAATATTACTTATTCTGTAAGACTTTTGAAGCAATATATATATGAGGAAAGATTCTTTGACACTAGTGTCAAATTTTAAATTGTCAAATTTTAAATTTGACACCTCATCTCTAAGAGTTGTTAGATCAAAAAAGATCAACGACTATGATTTGTAAGCATGTGACACCGTTGATCTATTTTGATCTAATGGCTCTCAGGTGAGGTGTCAAATTTGAAATTTGACACTGGTGTCAAAGGATCCTGCCTATATATATATATATATATATATATATATATATATATATATATATATAGGAAAAGTATTTATGTATTTCTACAGTCAATTTAGATAAAGTTATTTATACCTACCCTTTTTAACTAAGTACGACCGGTCGTACTTAGTTATAACAATAAAGCTGCTCTTTTTTTCTCTCTCCTCAGACACTGTCGGCTGACGCGGCGGAGAGAGAAAATGCACTTTTAATGTACGATCGGTCGTACTTAGTTAAAAAGGGATAGCTGTAGACAACCTTATCTAAAGTGGCTGTGGAAATATTTCCCTATATATATATATATATATTGGTCAAAGAAGCAATATATTTATTGCTGCAGTGAAACTATTATCGCATCATATTATTACTTTATATTAGTTTTATAAATATTTTAATTTTCAGGATCAAGGAGTATTTGAAAATGCTTGCGACACTGATGTAATATCAGCAGATCAACTGCGATATCTTTAAATTAAAATCATATTTTTTCAATTAAATATTTTTTACGTTATTTGTATAACATTTCATATTTTTATACAATTTTAATGTCTTACCAAGATGATAAGAGTCAAACATGTGATAGTACCGATGTTGCTGATGTTTCTCTCACTTTGTTGTCACCGTTGGTTATAAAATCTGATGCCATCAATGAAGAAGATTTTAATTTTCCAGTTAACCATCATAACAAAAAGATTAAGACACAGAAAGATACAATACAATGATTTTAATTGATTTATTATACAATGTCTTAATATTTATTTGACGTATTAAACAATTGTGTATGATTGTCTAATGTTTAACACGAGGTTAAACATTAATTATTTGACGTTATGATATTTAATATAAGGGAAAAGTATTTTTACTGTCACCGGAGATAAAGTTATCTTCAGTGAGTTCAAAACGACGTCGTTTTGGGTTATAAGATTAAAAAATTATAATGACAAAGACTAATATAACCCTGCAATATATTATAATTACAAAAACATAATGATTTCTGCCCCAAAACGACGTCGTTTTGAGCTCACTGGAGATAACTTTATCTCCGGTGGCAGGAGAAAATCTAAATTTTTTGTGTTTGTTTTTCTTCTTTCTCTTATGTAGTTAATCTTCTGCAATAATTAATATACAATAATTCGCTTATTACTTGAAATTTGGAAATATTTATTCCTTTGTTTGATTACGAAAAAAAGTTTAATAAAATATATGTATGATAAACCATCTTCAACTAAAAAAAATGAAGAGACACATTCTTCATTGTAAAACTATGTATGTCATTAAATTTTTTATTATTCATGTGTCTACACTTCAATCGACTCTTTTTAATTTTTATGTATCGAGAAGTTTATTTTTTTTTGTAAACTACGTGTTAGTCTCTTAATCCTGATTATTTTTTGAAACATTCTGATATTCCTTCTTCTTTTTTCTGAACTTTCATTCAATGACTGATACTTCATCTTCTGCAAATTAAAGTGAGTAGCGATTGAGAAATAGATACAGATGCCCCTAAAATCTCTTTCAAAGGATTTATTTTTGCAGATTTTTGGAATCACTAATGTAATATTCTTAGATTCTATTATAGACACCATTCAATATTAAGTTGGAAATCCCTTATCTATTTTATCTTTTAATATTTTCTTTAATAATTGTGTCTTAGAAAATTTTATTCATAAATTTTATTTAAAATTTACGTTAACTCTTAGAAGACAAACAAACTGACTTTTTTTTTCGTGTATCGCACGAGTAATAAACTAGTTAACTGGTTCTAATAAATAGTGGGCCAAACAATGTTCGTGAATAATGAAACAAAAAAATTATTGAGCAATATTTTTTCGTAAACGGTTTCTAATAATGCAATTAATATATTATTAATTGGTAATTGATTCTAATAAATAGTATTCCAAATGGGTTCTTTTGGCAACATTTATTTCCTCAAAATACAATCACCGTGTACATGGTTTTTGGGCGAAATTATTGAATCTCAATTGCTTTTTCATATTTGTCATTGAATATTTATAATTGATAACTTCTAAACGGTTTTTTATTTGTATGAATAGATAATAACGCTTTAAGGATTGTGAGGGAATAGATAATAAGGAATTTTTTATTTATATGTCTACATTGTTAATGACATCATGATCTCTTTGAGTATCTATAGCAATTGTATGATGATATCCCTTGTCACTTCTGCTGCATGAATCATGACATTGTTCTCATCGAAGAGTGGTGATTTTTCAGTGAAGTCGTCCTCACAAGACAAGGCCTCAACAACAGAATGACTTACCTCAAATGCAGCCACCTCGGGTTTTCCAGATTGCAAAGCTTGAGTGGCTAGTGGAACATCACCTTCCAAAATTGCTTTGTACTTGTTAGCACATGAACTCAACAAGCCTTTCTCATCGGCACCCCCTTTAAGAAGTTCATTGATTTTGTTCATGGTATCATTTGCTTTGGCTTTGATTACATTCACCAATATTAGTGCTAGGTCGTTGACATCTGCACTTGAGCTATGAGGGTCTGTTTCAAGGAGTTTAATGCAAAGATCAGGATGTGATGTATTCTTGCATGTTTCCTCTATGAGTTTCACATCGTTTGGCTGAAAAACTCTGCAGTGACCTTGTGGCATTGAAATTGTAGCTAGAACAAGAATGCTACATATAAGAGATAGGTGCTTCAAGTTTGCCATCTTTGTTAGAATAAGACAAATAATTGAAGCCTAGAAAATTCAAGTGAGTGGATGAACTGAAAAAAGTGAAAAGAGAGAACTAAAAAGTTCTAAGAAACTGAGATTAATCAGAGTGAAGATGTGTGAACTACTTCTTCTTTCAGCATTTAAATAGGGAATTGTCTCCAAATTCGGTCAAATCACAAGACAATCTGGGTAATTAATCATATTATTAATTTATTAATACAATAATACTTTATTTGGTAAGTAATCAATATTTTTGTAGGATGAAACAATATCTTTATTGCTTTCCGAAGTAATTAAATACACTATTAAATATTACTTACTCTGTAAGACTTCTTGAAGTAATTAAAGATATTATTAATTAATTGCATTTAAAATTGCCTTAAAAAATAATTTATTACGCTATTAATGAGTACAGGGAATAGGCTATTAATTTTATACAAATAGTTTTTAGTCAAACTACATTAATATAAGTAATATTATTTTTAATTATTCAAAAAATAATATTATTTTGAGAAGTAATTAATAACATCATTAAATATTGGAAAAAAAAAATATTCTCATGTTACATGAGATAAGTTTTCTTTCCTACACACCCTTCGATAATCATGCAATTTTCTCTTTTCTTTCTTTGTTTATTTTTTATATGGTGGGCCCCACCACTATGTGTCTATGACATAAGATTTTTTCTCTCATACAACATGAGATTAGATAAGCCCTTAAATATTATATATTAAGCACTAAACTTTGTTTGGGCTTCTATTTCAATGAGTGGTCTCCTACTAATTTGGCAATTAAATATTATATATTAAAATTTAGTGTCAAATGACATTTTTTTAAAGTTACAGCAAAAAAAATGAAACAAGGGGAGATTACGTTTACAATTTTTTTTTCTTTACAATTCTTACAACCTCAACCTATGTAGCACTGATATCGACACGGGACACGTGACACGACACGACACGATACTCCGACACGTTAATTCTAAAAAATGTTAGATTTCGACACGTTAGGACACGTTTTGATATTAAATAATATTTTTAATTTATGTAGTGTATATTGTATTTAATATTCAATAATTTAACAAAAAATGAAGTTAAACTTATAATACCCATCAATTTTGCAAAGAAACATAAGATATCCCAAATATTTATATTAAACTCAATAAAATAGTAATCGCAGTCTAACGAATTTAATAGTTGAAACTAAAAACGTAACGCAACGCAACCTTTGAACCATTTTTTGAGTTTTTACAACGCGTGTTGGAGTGTCGGAGAGTGTCGAAGAGTGTCGGACACGACACGTTAGGGTTTTTGAAGTGTCGGTGCTTCATAGACCTCAACTATGTTCTCCCGGGAGAACACTAATGGAGTGTTCTCCCGGGAGAACATAGTTGAGGTTGTAAGAGTTGTAAAGAAAAAAAGTTGTAAATGTAACCCTTCCCATGAAACAATATCTTTATTGTTTTCCGAAGAAATTAAATACACTATTAAATATTACTTATTCTGTAAGACTTCTTAAAGTAATTAAAGACATTATTAATTAATTGCATTTGATATTGCCTTAAAAATTAATTGATTACACTATTAATGAGTATAGGGAATAGGCTATTAATTTTATACAAATAATTTTTGGGAAAGGTTATATTTACAAACTTTTTATTTGCAAACTTTTACAAACTAATTATGTATGACCGGTCATACACTCTTGATTGAAGTTCGACCAGTCATACTTAGTATAATTTATAAGTTTGTAAGAATTTTTTTTTGTAAATATAACTTTCCTTTTTAGTCAAACTACATTAATATAAGTAATATTATTTTTAATTATTCAAAAAATAATATTATTTTGGGAAGTAACTAATAACATCATTAAATATTGGAAAAAGCTATTCTCATGTTACATTATATAAGTTTTCTTTCCTACACATTAGGGGTGTTCGCGGTCTGGATTGGATCGATTTTGAAAGCAAAAATCATCTAATCCCTTCGATTTGATAATGTAATCATCCATTTGATTTGGATTTTTTTTTCAAATCCGATCCGATCCAATCCAATTTTTTTCGGTTTGGATTAGATCGGTTTTCGGTTTTTTGAAAATTCTAAAAAAAAATTCATCATTATTGTACAAATAACATCTTTTGTATATATTGGCTTTGTAAAAAAAAATTGTGAAATACAAAAACATCTTTAAACAATAATATAGTTTTTTTTTTTTGGACAATGAGATATGAAGCTCTTGGGTTTAGTTGATGGGTTAATGGGTCTTGGGTTTAGAAATTTTTGTGCTATGATTGGGGAGAAGCCCATATAGAAAGAGGAGAATTAATATATTGGATCGGTTTGGATTGGATCAATTTTTATCAATCAATCCGAAAACCGATCCAATCCAATTAAAATTTGTGATTTTTATTTTTATTTTTGATTTTTCGATTTTCGGTTTATTCGGTTATCGATTTTTCGGTTCAGTCACCGCGGTTTGAATCTGTTTGGATCGGTTGATGAACACCCCTACTACTCATCCTTTCATAATTGTGCAATTTTTTCCTTTTCTTTCCTTTTTATTTTGTAGATGGTGGACCCCACCACTATGTGTTTATGACATAAGATTGATTCTCTCATACAACATGAAACTAGATAAGCCCTTAAATATTATATATTAAGCATGGGTTTTATAGGAAAAGTGATTGTGTAATGTTATAGAGATTTGTTTTGCGTGCCGTAATTTCTTTCTTTTTTTTTTTTCTTCAAAAAATGTGAACTCCACAAAATATTGTGTGTGTAAAAAAATTTATTATGTCATGTTAAATGACAAATGCAGACCCATTAACCATTAAACTTTGTTTCGGCCTCTATTTCAATGAGTGGTCTGCTACTAGTTTGGCAATAAAATATTGTATATTAAAATTTAGTGTCAAATGACCTCTTTTTTTTTTTTTTAAGGTTACAGGAAAAAATAAAAAACAACAGAAACTACATATACAGATGATTCTAGGGGTAGTAACCCCCCATCATGACCCTCAAGATCAAACTTCTACACCCCTAAGGAGGATCAATCAGAATTTCGATATCCCGCGCTTGGAAGACAACACTCGAAGCAATCCAATCAACCAACACATTTCCTATTCTGTGGGTGTGGGTGATTTTCTTCGTCCAATCCTTACTAATAAGAGCCTGGATCCTCAAAATCAAGGTAAAGAAAGGTTGGTGGTTCTAGCAACTTGATCTGATCAGGTGGATGGCTGAAGTCGAGTCCCCCCTTCAAGCCAGACTCTTCTAAAGCCTCTTTCCCTGGCTACTTCTAGACCCAGAAGCATCCCTTCAAGCTCTGCAAGTAATGCATTTCCCTGCCATGTATACTCTTTGAAGCCAACTATCCAGTTCCCTTGACAGTTCCTAATAGCACCCCCCACACAAAGTTCTCGAGCCATCTTGGAAACTAATACAGCGATAGGAAAGTTTGGACTCTATGAAGGGAATATTTTTGATAAATTCATGTACTATTAGATAATTAGAGTTGGAATCGAATCAAATTAACTACTCAAAATTAAATATTTTGAATATTATTCATAAATTTTTCAAACTTGAACTTTCTCAAAATTAACAAACAAAATTTAATAACTTAATTTTTTGAATTATTTAAACTTCGTAAAGCAATGTTTAATATTATAATAAATGAATATTTTAAATTCAACTACTCACATTTTACTTTATACTTAATAAAACAGAGGGTTTAATATTATAATAAAAGAATAACTCCCAAATTTCCCAATCTGTTCAGTTTCAAATTCTGCATATCTCGATGCTTACCCATTCCCACCTGGATACTCTCTTTTTCTTTTTTTTGAGTTACCCAACCCTAATTATCTCTTTGAGACGAGTTGGCTCCCTCCGGTATCCCCACGAGCTTCGACTCTTTGAGCCGGCTATGAGACTAATCCGGAGTGCAGGGGAACAGTGATGGCTAAAGGTTCAGCCCCTTCCCAAGAATGCATTCAGCGGGAATCGAACACATATCCAACCCCACTAAATCAGCGTCAAGTTACCAACTGAGCTGCACCCATTGGGTCCCACCTGGATACTCTTAATTGGCACAGATATGTTATTGCCAAATAAATTTTCTAAACTGCAGCAAATTTAACTGAACAAAAGGATAGAAGCAGAGAACATCATATATATCCAAATGGCCATAAAATAAAATAAATAAAACATAATTGCTATTTAAACAAAACCACGATTTAGGGTTTAGGGGGAGGAGGGGTGTACAGTTTAGCTAAATTAGTAGTTGAAACGCTAAACATTGAGAATTGAACTCCAACATTCTGCTATGACCACTCTCGCAATTCACACAAAACACCAATGTTGAAATTTCAACAGATGCATGAATTGAAACCCATTCAAAAGCATAAATTTTGATCTAAAACGGCAACGGTTGACTATAAATTATCAATTTTAATTCAGCGCAGAATTATGGGGAGCATAGAGCAATCTCTTAATTCGAGAATAACCAAAACGCGGCGAAAACCGACTTCGTTGCTTGAATCGATTCAAATCGAAAATTGCGAACTCAAACTCAACAACGTTCTGATACTTTGTATAAACATTTGGATTAGAATTTTTCAATTGAAGAAAAACATCTTCTACATGAAATTCTTGTCGAAGTAAGAAGATCGAAAAAAATGGAGAAACAAGAGTTAGGTTCGCTTACCAGTAGCTTGTTTCGTTTGCATGTTGATGTGGTGCGGTCAATACACTCCCTCGCACCACCCTTCTTAGTTCTTAACCCTTTATTAGTCTTTTTTTTTTTTTTTTTTTAGGTTAAACACAACACCTTACACACCACCCTTCTTAGTTCTTAACCCTTTATTAGTCTTTTTTTTTTTTTTTTTTGAGGTTAAACACAGCACCTTACACTACACACACTCCTAACATACACACCCCACACCACTAGGCTAACCCTAGTGGTATTTTGTTATTAGTCTCTTCTAGTCTTCCTTATTTATATATGGGATTAAGTTTGTTTTGATGTCGATATAATTTTATCTAATATTAATCTCTTTTTATATATATAGAGTGAGAGTTTATTATTTCTTTTAGAATAAAGTTATTTTTTTAATTTTCAAAATTTATATAATAAATAAATAAATAAATTTTTTAAAATATACTTCAATAATTATCTTAGTTTCTAAAACGACATAATTTTGTGATTGCTAGAGATAAATTTATTTTATATGACAGGAGAAATATATATATATATATATATATATATATATATATATATATATATATATATATATATATGGATTTATTATTTCTCCTATAACAGGAGATAAAATTATCTCTTGCACCTCAAAACTATGTCCTTTTGAGGGTTATATGAATTAGTGAATAGTGTTTTGGTAAAATTTATATAATAAAAAATTACTTAAACACCCTTTATGGATTCATCTAACCCTCAAAACGTCGTTGTTTTATATATATAAGAAAAATATTTCTCCTATCATATGAGATAAAATTATATCCAGCAATTCCAAAACTTGAGAATTGAGAGAATTAGTGAAGATTATTTTAGAAATTTTGTTTGTTTCTTAATTATATAAATTTTATAAAAATATTTTTTCATTAATTCTCTCGACTCTCAAAACGACGTAATTTTAGGTTGTTAGAAATAAAAAAAATTTCTTGTGGCAGGAGAAACAATAATAGGACTCATGCTAAAGAAAAAAGAGAAAATACTAGTAGGATCACTCATATAATGAGACTCGCTTATTTTTATATGTGTGTGATAAAAAAAAAATCTGCAACAAAACACAAACATTAAACCATATGTATATGAGGGAGAATATTCATACTATTATTTTTCCACTACCTCTAATTACCGTTGAATAAGCATTTTTTCTTTGAAAAATTTTATAAAAAAAAAAGATTTTTTTTTTTTAATATTATAACTTTGTACTTTTCGAAATACATATCACGGTGGATGATAGTATATGATAGTAGAAAAAAGTGATAGTGTAAATATCCTACCTCTATACATATATTGAAAATTATTTTGTCCTTTTAAATAACACAATTTGTATCCTTTCAAAGGACAAACTAATTTCTGTACACATATCAAAAAAGTTTAGATGTGGTTCCAGGATTTAAAAATATTTAAAAATTTTACTTTTCTTTAATATCATAATGTACCCTGCATTTCTTTCCTCCAATCCCCAAAATGATATTATTTTAAGCTTGCAAGATATATTATCTTCAGGTCCAGAAAATAAAGTTAATCCATATATAGATATGGCTTTAATATTTTTATAATAAGTGTAGATAAGTTATCTATATTTACTCTTAAAACGATGTTATTTTGGATTGAAAAATTAAAAAATTATAAATGAAAAAGAATATTATATCACTGAAATAAATTATAATTATAAAAATACCTTGATTTTCGCTCTAAAACGATATCGTTTTGGGCTCAATATGCAGAAAAAATGAATCATATATATATATATATATATATATATAAATTAGAATCATTGTATATTAGTATAAGTTATATTCTTAATCTTAATTGTTAATTTCACTTAGATATGCTCTGATTTTTTAATTATGAATTGGATATAATTAAAAACTTTCGGATGTAATTAAAATTTCCTATAATGATATGCGTGAGTTTGTATCTCAAATAACGTTAAATCAAAATTTATCTTACCATTTCTATTTCACCTTGAGATTCTAATATAATAGTGTTGAAGAAAATAGATAAAGTATGTATAAAAAAAATTGGCATAATATGATCATATCCCTTATTATATAGCAAATATTTTAAGGTTACTTTTTTTTGTTTTTTTTTTTGGGTACACTCTGACCTTTCTTGCTTGCATAAAAACGATATTATACGTCAACTAAACGACTCTCTTTAATTGATTTGAATGATGTATTTATCAACAGGTGATTCAACAATTATACTAGATTTGAATTATATTTCAAAAAATAAGATAATTAAATTTTTTTCTGTTTGCATAATTAATTTTTTTTTTGGTAAATAAATAAGTAAAAGTGTAGGTGCTGTAGAAAAAATTAAGATACTCTTATATTTAATAATAGGGTAAATTATTCTTCACAATCTTGAAGCTTGCTAAAATAACAGTAAATATTAAACTTGATCATAAATTTCAATATTTAATTGTCCCTATTTTTTACTAACTATCCACTACAGTTGACTAAATATTTTTAAATAAAAATAATATTTTAAGTATAACTTTCTATTGATTACATTTGTAATAAACTATATTAATAATTTTTTATGTAAAACTTAAAAAGTTTTTAAAATCAATATTATTATTTTTTTTATGTTTTGAATTAACATTTCCTTTAGTGTGTTATGATTGGAATCAGCTCTTAGTCAAATTATATGGATTAGGTAATTTGCCGCTGGCCAGGTTCCCTTATAATGCGAATGCAAAGCATTTACATTGGTTGAAAAAAATTAAAAAATTACTACAAGGCAACACCATGTCATTGCATGATATTCTTGAATTTTGTAGTTGATATATTAAATAGATTTTGCTAATATGGTGATGTTGAATACTAGATTATAATATAATTTGGTATCATTCTGCAGTTTTGGTTTGAGAAATTGCAAAAACTTTTGCTTGAATTCCTGTCCTTAGGCCTAAACTCTATATATCATCAAATCTTGAATGCAACATAAGGCAATTTTCAAACCAGATCATCACATAGAACGCTTTATTAGTCATTATAATTCATTGTCTGAGGTAGGCTTAACAGTTTGACTAGAATTATGCTTAGTTTAAGGTACTGTGTAAGTAAGATCTGGCTATACGACCACTTGCACCATGAGGGTGGAAGCCACCAGGGACATGTTCATCACCTGTACCATATATTATCCTCAATATTTCTTGTGGGGTTCTGGGATATGACAGTGAATCTCTGTCAGCAGAGAGAATGTTGCCAGAGACTCTGCCCTCAGCACCTTGCCCTCTAGGAACCACAAGACCCTCATCTTTCAAACCTGTGTTTCCTAGCCTATCCCTAAGGGCTGAAATGCGATTTGTGAACTCTGCCACACTTATTCCATAGGGCAGAACCTTCAAGGATCGACGTTCATATAGCAATGCTCTGATAACTGCATCTTGGCCAGACTCTACTCCCAGAAGACCTGCAACAAGCTGTACATGCAGCATCACACTATGTCATTATATGCATCATCTCCTTGTATTAAGGTGGATACCATTTTGATTTTATTTTATTTTTGGCAAATCTTAATTTTTGGGGCACCAAACATGTTAAAATTGTTTATTTACCATGCTATTTTCTTCTGTCCCATTTTTTAAACATTATAATAATCATATGTTCCTTTTCATCCTAACAAAAAATTGGGATTTTTTGGATATCTTAAATACTTGAATTAGATATCTATAGTTAGCAATTAATATATTAGGGAATCTGACATTCCCTAGTAAAAAGTCTCAGCCAACTTCTGTAAAAATACTAATTGTAACATTTCTTGATAAGTCTCAACTTTTTATATACACAAACAAGTATATCATATTTCATGTACCTAGAATACATATTACACCAAACACCTCCTCCTAAATGGTTTTGAGTTTGGGGGCTGTACCTTCTTGGCAGTAGCAGTTTGCAGAAGTGGATTCGCTCCAACATAACCAGTAAGGCCAACATAAGGAATAACATAAGATGCAAGCAGAAAGTTGATCTCATTGGCATAAGGATCAAAAGGAGGATGCAGAGGTCGCCCAAAGGCACTGTCCATTACTTTAGCAAATGATGCTGTGCTTAGATCCAGCAATGGTCTAGGGAACCCTCTCACTGTGCTCTTTATTGCTCTGCAATGAGAACACAACTTTACTTTAGAACTCTTCTCTTGGAAATACATATACATATACATATAAACTAATCCAAAATCCATCAAATTAAGGTCTTACAACACACACATATATATATATATATATATGAAAAATAATTTCTACAGCCACTTTAGAAAAGGTTGTCTACAGCTACTCCTTTTTCACTAAGTACGACCGGTCGTACTTAGTTATAACAATAAAGCTGTTCTTTTTTTCTCTTTCCTCAGACATTGTCGGCTGACGTGGCAGAGAGAGAAAATGCAATTTCAATATACGATCGGTCGTACTTAGTGAAAAAATAATAACTGCAAACAACTTTATCTAAAGTGGCTGCAAAAATATTTTCCCCGTATATATAACATAAGATATTGTAATTTTTTTTGCCTAAAAGAATTATAATTGAAGAGAGAAGAGAGATAACCTCAAATGTCCAACTTCCTGCAAACCAAACTGCAAGATAACATCCTTAACAAGGATGTCAAGGTTGGCCAATCTGGCACCAATGGGAGGGGGTCCTCCCTCTGCTAAGTGTGGAGCAACTACATCCAATCCATGACCCAAAGACCCAAACAAGAAGAACTCAGCCTCTAAATATTCTAAATTTAGAGGAAATTCCAGAAGATCAACATCTGATTCTGGGATTGCCTCACTTGCAACGAGCACAGAAAAGTAAGATTCTTGGAGGAGAACAAGGGAAGCTAGCAAAACAACAATGGAGGCAGTGACTCTAGAAATGTGGGGTGCCATGTTTTTAGGCTCTTTTTATGGGTGATGATGTGCATATATATATATATGTCACTTATGATCCAGTCAAATATTGTGCACTTATATATATAAACAATCTTTTTGATGCATGCGTATGCTAGATACGTGGCCTGAGGATGCATAACATAGTCTAATAATACTGTACGTATTTGGAAAGTAATCAAAAATTTTGTAGTATGAAACAATATCTTTATTGCTTTCCGAAGCAATTAAATACACTATTAAATATTGCTTACTCTGTAAGACTTCTTGAAGTAATTAAAGATATTATTAATTAATTGCATTTAATATTGCCTTAGAAAAAATAATTAATTACGCTATTAATGAGTACAGGGAATAGGCTATTAATTTTATACAAATAGTTTTTAGTCAAACTACATTAATATAAGTAATATTATTATTAATTATTCAAAAAATAATATTATTTTGAGAAGTAATTAATACCATCATTAAATATTGGAAAAAATTATTCTCCTGTTATATGAGATAAGTTTTCTTTCCTACAAACCCTTCGATAATCGTGCAATTTTTTTCTTTTCTTTCCTTTTTATTTTTTAGGTGGTGGGCCCGGCCACTATGTGTCAATGATATAAGATTTCTTCTCTCATACAACGTGAGACTAGATAAGTCCTTAAGGGCATGTTTGGTGTATAGTATAGGATAAAGCCTGATAGTATAAGACCTGATAGTATAAGACCTGATTGTATAAGACCTGATTAAATTTTAATACAATCCAGCGTTTGGTATGGTATTGTATAAGAAAATAACTTTTAATATTTTAAAAATTAATATATTAAAAAAAATTATTTTAATATATTAATATTGAAATGATATATTAGTTCTTGGGAATTGCACTTGTAAGCAATATTAATACATCAACCTCTTATCAGGCCTTATCCCTCCCCTTAGGCCGGATTTTAAGTTATACATCGTCTTGATGTATTAAGGGATTCTGCTGTATAAGCTTATACTATACAATGGTCACACCAAACAACTGAAAATGTCATAAAGTATAATATAAGCTTATAGTATCATGCCTTATAGATCACACCAAACAGGTCCTAAATATTATATATTAAGCATTAAACTTTGTTTCGGCTTCTATTTCAATGAATTGTCTCCTACTAATTTGGCAATAAAATATGAGGAGGGTTATATTTACAAACTTTTTAATTACAAATTCTTACCAACTACACTATGTACTCCCGGAGTACATAGTGTAATTAGCAAAAATTTGTAAAAAAAATTTATAAACGGATCATTCCCCATCAAATATTCTATATTAAAATTTAGTGTCAAATGACAATTTTTTTTAAGGTTACAGGAAAAAAAAGCAACAGAAACTACATATATATACAGATGATTCTAGGGGTAGTAACCCCCATCATGACCCTCAAGATCAAACTTCTACACCCGTAAGGAGGATCAATCAGAATTTCGATATCCCACGCTTGGAAGACAACACTCGAAGCAATCCAATCAACCAACACATTTTCTACTCTATGGGTGTGAGTGATTTTCTCCGTCCAATCCTTACTGATAAGAGCCTGGATCCTCAAAATCAAGGTAAATAAAGGTTGGTGGTTCTAGCAACTTGATCTGATCATGTGGATGGCTGAAGTCGAGTCACTTTCAAGCCAGACTCTTCTAAAGCCTCTTTCCCTAGCTACTTCTAGACCCAGAAGCATCCCTTCAAGTTCTGCAAGTAATGCATTTCCCTGCCATGTATACTCTCTGAAGCCAACTATCCAGTTCCCGACAGTTCCTAATAGCACCCCCCACACAAAGTTCTCGAGCCATCTTGGAAACTAGAGCGATAGCAAAGTTTGGACTCTATGAAGGGAATATTTTGGATAAGTTCATGTACTATTAGATAATTAGAGTTCGAAACGAATCAAATTAACTACTCAAAATTAAATATTTTGAATATTATTCATAAATTTTCCAAACTTGAGCTTTCTCAAAATTAACAAACAAAATTTAATAACTTAATTTTTTGAATTATTTAAACTTCATAAAGCAATATTTAATATTATAATAAATGAATATTTTAAATTTAATGACTCACATTTTACTTTATACTTAATAAAATAGAGGGTTTAATATTTGTTATATTGTTCAAAATAAAATTATCTCCTACATATATATAAGTCAAGGGTTCGCTTTTTCTGCAATCACTGTAGATAAGTAATCTGCAGTAAACCCAATACGACGTCGTTTTGCGATGAAAATCATGATGTTTTTGTAATTTTAATTTATTTCAGGTTATAATAATCTTTATATTTATAATATTTTAAGATTTTAATACCAAAACGACATCGTTTTGAGAATAAATACAGACTTATCTGCAGTAATTGCAGAAATATTTTTCTCATAATTTAATCTCCAAAAAGAACATGAGAAACTGTAAACACAAAAATAAAAAAGGAAAAAAGTTTCTCATGTTACTTTAGACAATTTTGTCTAATGTTCATTAAAACGACGTCGTTTTGGGATTGAGAAATTAAAAAATTAGAATGATAATACTATTATAACCCTGAAATAAATTAAAATTATAAAAACACCATGATTTTTGTCCCAAAACGACGTCATTTCAATGAACATTAGATAAAGTTATCTAGAGTAACTTTAAAAAAAACAAACCCAACATAGTAACATTTCATGGCATCATCTCTTTGAGTATGTCTAAAGCAATTGTAAGATAATCTCCCTTGCCACTTCTGCTGCATATCTCACGAACAAGTTCTCCTCTAAGAGTGGTGATATTTCAATGAAGCCCTGCTGACAAGACACGACCTCAACAACAGAATGACTTGCCCCAAATGTAGCAACCTCGGGTTGTCCAGATTGCAGAGCTTGAGTGGCTAGTGGAACATCACCTTCCAAAATTGCTTTGTAGTTGTCGTCAGCACATGAACTCAAGGCTTTCTTATTGCCACCCCCTTTAAGAAGTTCATTGATTTTGTTCATTGTATCATTTGCTTTGGCTTTGATTACATTCAGCTAGGGGTGTAAATGGGCTAGACTGGACTGGGCTTTGGTTTTCTTGGCCTAAGCCTACGTAAAAAAAAATATTCAGTCTATCTGGCCTACTAAAGGCTTATAGGCCAAGTTTGGCCTATTTTTTAAAAATTAGAGAGCATGATATGGCCTACAGGCCTTGTAGGCCTCCCTCGTGATATATTTTAAAAAAAAATTAACAATTTTTAAAATAATCGCTTGACATTACAAGTCATTAACGTGTTCATTGCATTTTTTTACACGAGATATAAATTTCACTAGTGAGCATTAAAAATATATTGAGCAAAGTTTCATTCATGCAAGCACTAGTACTTCTCATAAGAAATAAAAAATGACAATAAAGAAAGAGTCAACATAATACCCCAACTCTATAATGTATATCCGAGAGGAATAGAGTCAGAGAAAGGGGGGAAATAAAAAAATACAATTACTACGTCAACCAAAGCTGAAATAAAGTCTACAAGAGAATATCATTCATTAAAATATCTTTAAGCCACCTAAAATAAATATATTATTTTATTTTATTTTTAAAAATTAAATAGATCAGCCTACAAGGCTTTAGGTCAGGCTTGACAAAATTGAGGGGGGATGTTGAGTATCAGTTAACTCAGTTAGTTAGTTTTCTGTTATGTTAACTCAGTTAGGTAGTTAGTTTAACTCAGTTAGTTAGTTTTCTGTTTTAACAGCTGTCACTTTCGTTATGTATTGAACTAACTATATATTTAGGGAACTGTGTATTTTCTAGATTGATTTGATTCAATGAAATATTCAGTTTCTACTTTCTCTCTTCACCCTCAAATGGGTTCCTTGAGTTCCGCTTGTTTCATGGTATCAGAGCTCTTCGCAGAGCTCTGATATTCGCCATCTCCATTTCTATTTCTGTTTCAGTTTCATTTTTCCTTTCATTTTTCCTTTTCTTTTCTGATTTTATCGTGAATCACCTATTACTTCTTTGATCTATGGCGAATCAGAGTTCTGTGAGTATTGAAAAACCAGTGGAGAATCAAGTTCCTGTTTCCACCACAATTCCAAAAGGTGACAGTAGATCATCGATTTCTATCGACATTTCAGATCAGGCAAGTCCTTATTTCTTGCATTCTAATGAGACTCCCTCACTTGTATTGGTTTCTGTTGGGCTTCCTCCTTCAATGCTAATGCCAAGCCCATTGAGGGGTTTTCTAAAAACCCTAACCCTAGATCTCACCTCCTCTATATATTCATTAGTTTTGGGTGGAGGCCAGGTCAGATTGAGAGAAGAGATTTGAGAGATCTCTAGAGAGAGTTTCAGTGAAACATCTCTAGGGAGGTTTGATTATCACCATTGTTGGATAGGTTGAGTTAACCACCACATTGGTGAATTTTGATATTTGTAACCATTATTTTCATAGTGGATTTTTGATCTGGACTAGGTCCCGTGGGTTTTTACTTCTTCATTGGAGAAGGTTTTCCCACGTTAAATTTGGTTGTGTTCTCTATCTCCTTCTCTCTCTCTCCCGTGTTTTTCGTTTTGATTTTTCCGCTTCTCTGCCCGACCTGGTGAAATTCAGGCCGAGGTATTGCTGAGATCAATACTGAAAACGGTGAATATTTTTGGCATTGGGATAGCCATTCCGCAGATCGAGGATCTCATTGACTGACTTTTGCAAAGGCCCCTGAGCCGATCTGAGGGAACCAGTTCCCAACAGTGGTATCAGAGCCCGAGTTCGACAGGTTCTGAGAGAGACGAGATGGAGACCAGTGGCATAACTCATGATGGAGAAATGTTCAAGTTGACCGCAAACAACTTCACTTATTGGAGACCGATGATGGAAGATCATCTCTACTGCAAAGATCTACATGAGCCCATAACCCTTGATGAGAGACCGGCAGGCAAGACAGATAAGGAGTGGGAGATCCTGAGTCGGAAAGCTGTAGCCACGATCAGAAAATATATTGATAAAAGCCTCTTTGAGCACGTGTCT